GCCATCTCTCCAGCCCCCGAATTTTGGCTTTATTTTTATGTCTTTGTAAAAGATAAATTTACTATATATTCACTTTTATTTTCTGGAATCAATAATGCCATTTTGCAGCACTCTCAAAGAACTAGTTCTTGCTTCTAAAATGTAGGTCCTTTGTTTATAAGAATTTTTGCTTATCAGAGGCTTAGAATGTTGTTTAATTAGTAGAGTGTATTCCTAGCGTGTGCACAGCGCTGGGTTCAATCCCTAGATCTATATAAATGGGGCATGTGACGGTGCATAATTGTAATCGTAGCACTGGGGAGGGGAAGCAGGAGGAGCAGGAGTTCAAAGTATCTTCAGCCACATAGTGAGTTTGAGGCCAGCCTGTGGTACATGAGACTGTGAAAAAAAATACACGCGCGCGTGTGTGTGTGTGTGTGTGTGTGTGTGTGTAGAGAAAGAGAGAGAGAGAGAAAAAAACAGAGAGAGGTACAATTGTGCCCCTGTGAGGCAGTGGCAGGCAGATTTCTGTGAGTTCAAGGCCAACTTGGTCTACATAGTGAGTCTCAGACTAGCTAGTGCTACATAGTGCGACTCTATCTCAAAAGAAGGAAAGAAAATGGGGGCTGGAGAGATGGCCCCAGATGGAGGATGAACACCATCATGTGTGAAGGAATTAATCTTTAAATAGAATTACTGGGGCTGGAGAGATGGCTCAGCAGTTAAGAGCACTGGCTGCTCATGCAGAAGATCTGGGTTCAGTTCCCAGCACCCACATGGTAGTTGCCAACTTCCATAACTCCAGTTCCTGGGGATCAGACACCTTCTTCAGACCTCTGTAGGCATTGCATGATACTGGTACACTTATATACATGCAGTCAATACGCTCATACACATAAAAAAAATTAAAGAAAGAAAAGAGAAAAAGAAAAAAAATGTAGGCGTAACACAAATTCTTTCCAGTCTTTGTAAGTAACAAATATTTCATTTCTGTTCATAAACTATTAATTATCATATGCAGCACAGTCTTTTTGGGCTGTATGGCCCCAGTGTTTAGAAGGCTGTAAAAACAAGAGAGCAAGGGACTAGAGAGATGGTTCAGTGGTTAAGAGCACCAGCTGCAATTGCAGAGGACCCAGGTTCAGTTCCCAGTACATGGAAGGTAACAGTATTCTGCACCTCCAGTTCCAGGGGATCTGACACCCCTCTTCTGACCCCCTTGGGCATTGCACCCACATTCATGCAGGCAAAACACTCATACATATAAGATAAAAATAAAAGTATATTTTAAATAAGAGAGCAAGGGAAGATCACAAGTCCTAGGCTAGCCTGAGGCTGTGTCTCAAACAAATACAAGACAGGAGGACAAGGCCAGTTCTTCCCTGCCACTGTGCCTTCCATCTGTCTCTGTAGCAGGAACAGCCATGAGAATACAGGCCACCATCAGGAGTGATGGGAATCATTGTGGGTTTAAAGCTTCAGTCCTCACAGGAATCAACCTTCCCTGTGACAATGCATGTGTAGTGTTGTTGGGGTGCCCGTGCTGATAAGAACTGACATGCTCAGAGGCACAAAACACAGTTTCCGCATCAGGTAGGTACTTATGGTTCATTCCTCTTCTGTCCAGATGAAATGTGCCAGCCAAGGTTATGGTACTCTCAGCATAGTTTCTTAGAAACATTATCAACATTGTACACTACCGGGTTACTGTGGAACAGAGCTGAAGACCTGTAGAGAATGGAGCCAGAGAGGCGATACCACATTCAACCACAAGGTGGCGCTCATCGCCTAAGTCTGAAGACATGGTACTTAAGCATTATGTGCTAGGTACTTGGCTGAATTAAGAAATAGACAGCAGGTCAGATTCTCATGCAGCAGTAGTAAACAAAATTGTTAATGCTTTATTACATCAGGTAATAGGAGAAGACTTTGGTAAGATAGACTAATTAAAACTGGAATTTAAAAACTACCTCTAAGATCTATAAAATTAAGGTTGTAATTCAGACTTAAGTGTTCCCACTTAGGGATACTCTTTAAAAATTATTATTTTAAGAACATTTTCATACAGACAACAACTAGGAAAGTAACTAAATTTTCTTTTATTTTTGACAATATTGGCAAAATTAGGTAGGTATTCTATAAGCTCTACCTGTTCCTTCTAGATCCATAGACCATGTAGTTTAGCTTTGGGTGTTGAGTCTCTGTCTGTGATTCTTTTCTGTTCTCCAGTTTCTTCTGCCTACAGGCATTAAAGCAATATCTCCAAAACAGAGTCGTGGTATGTCACCCGTCACTCCTATTAAAACCCCTAAATCTGAAAACCTCAAGACACCTACTTCACATCATGATGACTATAAAAACAATATACTGTATACAGCAGTCCCACCTTCTTAGTGAGCCGTATATTCTCAGACCCCTTCTGGCTCTCTGGAACCACAGAGGAGACCAGGCCTGCTATCTTTTCATATATGCACAACTATGATATGGTTCAATTTATAAATTAGGCACAGTAAGAGATTAGCAATAAAAATAAAAGTTATAAGTATTGTAATTAAAGTTATTTAAAACTAGAAATTACCTGTTTCTGGAATTTTCCATTTATTATTTTCAGAGCATTGTTGACAGTGGGAAACTGAAATCTCAGAAAGTAAAACTATTGGACTTGAAAATTGTTAAGGAAGTAGATTTTAAGTGTTCTCACTTCAAAAAATGATAATAATGTGAGGGAATTCACCATTTGTTACATGCTTTGATTTGCTCATTCTGCAACATACACACATGTGCATATCAGTGTTATTCACCATCAACATATGTAGTTTTTTGCTAGTAAATTTAAATTTTTCCCTATACAGTGCTCTAGCTTGGTTTTTGTTGCTGTGAGAAAGCCCTGACCAAAAACAACTTGGAGAGGAAAGGGTTTAATTTCATCTTAGAACTCCCAGGTCACAACCCAACATTGAGGGAAGTCGGGCTTGTGGTTATCAGCCAGCCTGTAATTTTTGTTGTTGTTCTTTTTATTTTTTGAGACAGGTTCTCCCTGTAGCCTCAGCTGGCCTGAAACTTACTATGTAGACCAGGCTGGCCATGATCTCAGAGAGATCCGCTGCCTCTGCCTCCTGGGTGCCTAGATTAAAGGCGGGTGCCACCAAGACTATGCCTCCTTGATGGCAATACCCCAAAGTACCACAAGATGGCACTTGTCCCCTCTCTAAATTGAAATACATACTGCTATTTCTGTGGTTGAACTTGGGACTGTTGAAATAGTGGGGCTGATAAATAATATCAAGATTTAACTTTATCTCTGCATCTTGAAAAGGTTCTGAGACTATTACTTAAAATAGGAGAACCACACTTCATGAAATTTGGGCATTGCTTACACTTGGTCATCAACAGGTTTTTAGAATATTGAATATGCTGGATGATGAGGGAAAATGAGAATATGTGAGGGCTGAACCTGGCCTTCAGTGAGGGTCCTTGTCCGCATTCAGTGTCCTCTCTAGGCAGGATCACAATAACCACTTTCTAACTAACCCCCAAAACACAGGCGGCAAATGACTCTACACCACAAGTCTGAGTCCTTCTCTATGAAATCTCCAGTGATTTCTTAGAACCCTCCCCAGCAGAGAGAGCAAAAGAGATGGTTTATTGTACACGGATACACTCGGTCACAAGTGAGAACAGAACTAGTTCAGAATGCCGTAGGTCCTTGGCAGAGAGGGCAGAGGGCCAACAGGGACTGGGTTGAAAGCAGGGCCATCTTTCGGGTGGTCTTGGCGATCGGATGAAGCTCCAGATCCACTGAAACGAATTCTCGTCAGTAGCACACAGTCGGACAGTCTGCACCAGCACCTCCGGCAGTTCTTCCTTCTGCAGCCTGCACGGCCTCCACCGGTGCACGGCCTCCGCCGGTGCGCAGCCTCGTTTACTGGACATCAGTCTCGTCTTCTCTTGGGCTTCAGCCTGTGCGTTCGTTTCTTCCTCCACTTCTTTCTCGCGGTGCAGTTTTAAGGAAGGTGGAGCTAAGGCCAAGAGAGACTTCTTGACATGTTTTGTGAGGTGTCCCATAATGTTAGCATTGATTCCTTTTACAGTGTGATCTCTCCTATTTTTTAAAAGTTTTTTTTTAAGTTTATTTTTATTTTATGTGTTTGAGGTTATGCCTGCATGTGTGTAAGTCCACCTGTGTCGTGCAATGTGCAGTGCTAGCAGCTGACAGAAGAGGGAGTCAGATTCCCTGGAACTGCCGCGGTCTGGGTGCTGGGATTCTATCGATCCCAGGTCGTCTACAAGAATAGCCAGTACTCTTAACCACTGAGCCGTCTCTCCAGCCCCTTCTCTCAAGCCTTTGAATCACATACCTGGATTATTTTTCCTTGTTTCTTGCTTCAATCTCATTCTTTAGGCTGCAGCTTAGATGCCACTCCTTTGAAAGACTTTCCTATGCAGCAACCCCTGGTGTGTTAAGGCAGCCCTCATATGCCCCTGGAAGCACCTTTCTGTCCCCATCCCACCTTTCTTATCTCCTTATTGTAACTTTTCTGTAAGGACAAGGCCAGGTCTGGCTTGCTTATCTTTGTACTGCCAGCATATTGCTTGGCACTTAGCTTATAGGAGTTTTTGTTTAGTAAATTAATTGAAATTATGATTAGAGTCACCAAGCAGTAGTAAACAACACAAAGGCAATTATAATTTTAGCATTAAATTATACTGTACTATAGATTAGTACTAAGAAACCAGAGAAAGGTAAAGTTTATGGATGAATTGGGCCTAAAGCTAGAGCTTATGGAATAAAGGTTCAAAAATTTAGTAGAGAGAGGAAAAAAAAAAGCAATCATTCACTATTACTAGAGGTTCGATGCTTAGGATGGGGAGAGCTCAGTTATTATTGGGAGAATGGTAGGGAATTGGGCTCAACTGACCTAAATGTTGAGAGTAGTTTACACAGGATTCAGTAATACCGCCTACCAGTCTTTCAATCTAATGTTTGCTTGGCCAACAGAAAAACAATTGTGTCTGTTTTTTATAAAATAAATGCAAGTTCCTCCTTAAGCACACACACTGTTCCTTGGTACAGTTAACAATGATGCTTTTCCGGCACCAATTCAGGCTTCATGTAGTCTCTGTCCCATCCAAAGAAAGCCTTACTTCTAGGTTATAATTTAAAATGCTTCTTCCCCCCACATCCTCCTCAAACTCTGATTCCAGTTGATTCTTTGTGTACGTGAAAACTTAAATTTGTCTTGTTTTGTTTTGTGGGACAAGGTCTCATATAGCCCAGACTAACTTCAGTCTCGAAATAAAGAATGACTTTGGATTCCTGACCCTCCTAAGTGCTGGGATTACAGGTACATGCCACCATGCTAGGCTAAAAAGTAAAAAGTAAAATTCATTGTGGCCTCTGGATTGGAAGAACTTAGAAGCAAATGTAGATGAAGACATCAATTTCAGGCACCTCAGGGGATACAGTTATTTTGATGACAAGATAGTCTCAGCAGCTTTGCTTTTCAAAGTAAGTTAAAAGATAAAGTTAAGAGGTACTAATTGCTATTATGTATTTGTTTCTTTTTCCATTTTCACCCAAAGAGTCTGATCCAGGTGAGCACTTGTTTTGGAAGCTCGTCACCTTACCCAAGGTTGGTCTTATAGCCTTCGTCATCATCTCACTGAGCTCCTGCTTTGGCTTCCTTGATCCAATTCTGTCTCTCTTTGTTTTGGAGAAGGTAAGTAGCCTGGCTGTCAGGAGCTCTGCTTTGTGGCAGATGGTCATAACTGTGTGCTCTTGGGCCCTTCTTTTTCTTTCTTTTTTTTTTTATTCTTTTTGAGACAGGGTCTTCCTGTAGCCCCAGCCACCTGAAACTCAATACGTAGACTAGGCTGGCCTTGAACTCACAGAGATCCGCCTGCCTCTGCCTCCCAAGTGCCAGGATTAAAAGCATGCACCACCATGCCCCGCCTCTTGGGCCCTTCTTTGGGGAATGACCTTTGACTGGGAGAAGGAGGCAGAGTACTACTCAGAGGTAGACTGTGCCTTTCCTCAGTAATGTCCCTTTGAGCTGGAACACAATTCCATGAACTGGGGCTCTGATTCACTAAGAAGAAAGACAGAATCTTTTCCCTAGTTACCAACACAGTAGTCTCCTCTTCCCCGAGACCTTGTTCATGTCATTGTAGGTGAGGTGGCATCTTCAATGTCGCTTAATGAGGGCATTTTCTCTATTTGTTTGAGTTGCAATGGGAACCTTGGTTCATGGTTTGAGGGAATACAGCCTATCATGACAGGGAAGACATGGCCGCTAGGGCACCAGGGCGGTGGTAGTTTTGAGTGTGTGCCTCGTTTCTTCACATTTCTTGGAAATAGGAAGGTGATGGAGGGGAGGCTGGGCCAGAAGCAGGACTAGGCCATAAATACCCTTAAGCCCTATCCAAGAGCTACTCACTTCCCCCTGCTAGGCCCCACTTCCTAAGAGTTCCACATCTTCCCCAAACAGTGCCCCTAGCTTGGGACCAAGTATTCAAACATGTGAGTCTGTGAAAGACATTTTTATTTTTATTTATTTATTTATTTATTTATTTTATTTAATTTATTAAGACAAGGTCTCACTATGTAGTCCTGGATAACCTGGAACTCACTATATAGACCAGGTTGGCCTTGAACTCACAGAGATCCACCTGCCTCTGCCTTGCTGGGATTAAAGGCTAGTGCCACCATGCCCAGCTTATTTATCTGTTTTCAGTATTGGGGGTTGAAATGAGTACTCTATCACAAAGCTATGCCCCTAGCCCTTTTTTTCTTTTCTTTTCTTTCTTTCTTTTTTTTTTTTTAAAAAAAAAAAAAAACAAAAAACAAAAAACAAGATCTCAGAAAGTTACCAAGGTGAGCCTTTGTTTCATTCTGTAGCCCAGGCAGGCTTTGAACTTGTGAACCTCCTGAGTGATTAGAATTACAAGCCTGCCCCACCAGGCCCAGCTCTGGGAGGGAACATTTTGCATTTAAACCATAGAAAGTTCTCAAAATATGATATCATAAGAATTTGTTCTTAGGTATATTTGGAAAAATGCGTAGTGATACAACAGTGTTCACTACTGAGCCTGGTAGTTTATTATACTGCAGAATTAGTGCGAGTCCACAGAGGCAAAGCAAGAGCAACACAAGACCCAAAAAATAACTTTCAAAAAAAATCCCCAATTTGGTCATTTTGTGTGCTTTCTGATCATTGATTTATCAAGAATTGAAATTTATCAGAGATTAAAGTTAATATTTTTATGTGTTTTTCATTATTGTTTGTTTTTTGAGTTAGGGTCTTCCTGTAACCCCAGCTGTCTTGGAACTGGCTATGTAGTTCGGGCTGGCCTCAATCTCCCATATGCTGAAACTAAAGATGTTCACCTCCATGCCCGGACCAAAGTCAATATTTTTTATAATTACACAATACCTCTTGAAATCACTAAAGGTATTTTTGAGTATTTTGCAGACAAATTTTGAATTTTAATGCCTTGGTTTAAAAAATAAATAATATAAATAATATTGTATTTAACTGGTGAGCATTCATGAGGGGACATATAACTGAAATTATTATTTATTGATACAACCTATTCACATCCTCAGGAGTGTGGCTCTTGGAGTCATTTTTCTTTTCTTTTCCTTTTTGGTTTTTTTTAAAGCATAGTCACATATAATTCAGGTTGGCTTTAGATTCACTATGTAGACAAGAGGACCTTGAACTCCTGATCTTCCTGCTTCCACCTGCCAAGTGTTGGAATCTACAGGTGTATGCCACCCTACTGGACTGCCTTGCTGTGCTGAGATCTTAAAGGATTAATTATTTAGCATGAATTCATATTTGTCATACAAACTATAAAAACATGCATTTGCCCATAAATGAATCCCATGCGCTTAAGATTGAAAATTGAATAGGGAAAATGAGGAAAATGAAAACAATTAGGTACCCCACCCCCAAAAGACATTTATATACTGTTGGTAAGCTGTGAGAACTTACTGTCTAAAGGCACTTAAAATGTATTATGTCGGGGCTGGAGAGATGGCTCAGTGGTTAAGAGCACTGGTTGTTCTTGCAGAAGACCCGGGTTCGAATCCTAGCACCTACATGGAAGCTAACAATTGTCCATAACTCAAGTTCCAAGGGATCTGACAACCTCTTCTGTCTTCTGTGGACATTGCATGACATGGGTGCACTTACCTACATGTAGGAAATACACACATACACATAAAATAAAAATAATAAATAAAATATTTTTTAAAAATTGAAAAAAAATGTATTATGTCAGCTGGGTGTGGTAGTGTGTGCCTGTAATCCCAGTACTTGGAACACTGTAGCTGGAAGATGGTAACTTTGAAGGTAGCCTGGGCTACATAATGAGACTATCACAGAAAACAAAGTGTTATCTAATTTTAATTAGATATTAAGGTTCTATTGATATGGATAAAGTTGATAATTATCACCAATGGGCTTCAAAGCATAGCCCAAGGATTGTTAGCATCAGTTAGAAGCTTGTTAGAAATTCAAAGCCTGAGACCCATCTCCGAAGTTCTATATCAGAAACCCTAGGAGATGTGGAGAGGTAGCTTATTGAGTAAGAGCAGTTGCTGCACAAGAGTGAGGACCTGAGTTCAAATCCCCAACACCCCCATAAAAGCCAAGTGTGGTCATGTGGCCCTATAACCCCAGCACTGGTCAGGGCAAAGGCAGGATTGCTGGGGCTTGCTGGATACCAGCGTAGCTCCAGGTTCATTGAGAGACTGGGTCTCAAGGGAATAGGTGGGGTGTGACAGAACATGACACCCAAAGTCCTTCTCTGACTGCCACATGCACCCATGTATGTGTGTGTGTGTGTGTGTGTGTGTGTGTATGTGTGTGCCTGAACATGTGCATATATGCACATACACACACACACAAATCCAGGGCTAGGATCCAAAAGCATCTTCTAATAAGCTCAGTACATAATTTTTATGTTCATGAAATTTGTAAAACACTAGTTTGTACATAAAAATGCAATAATTCATAGTAGCCAAACTATATATTTATTGTCAAATACTACAAAGTAAAACTTCAAGGACTTCTAGTCTCTGGTTAGGATCTTTCTTCCTTAGCAGAAATGTCTGAAACTATGAACCAAAATAAATAATTCCTCCCTTTACATTCTTCTCCAGCTATTTTAGCATCAGGTTAAGAAAGCTAAACAACACAAATACTAGGTATTATTGACAGACTTGTGGTAATAATAAGTTGAGAAATGGTAGAATGTCCTAGTTAACTTCCTATTGCTGTGATAAAACACTCTGACCAAAACTAACTTAGGGAAGAAAAGGTTTATTTGGCCGATATGTCCCAGTTCATCTTTGAGGGAAGCCAGGGCAGGAATTCAGGGCAAGAACCTAGAAGCAGGACCTGAAGTACAGAACAGGAATAGTACTTACTGGCTTGCTCCTCTGGCCCATGCCCAAGCCTACTCTCTTATACAACCCAGGAGCATGTGCTCAGGGATTGTACCACTCACAGTGGGCTGGGCCCTCCCAAAACAATCAACAATAAAGAAAATGCCTCACAGGCCAATCGGATGGAGGCAGTGCCTCAGTTGAGGTTCCCTCTTCCCAGGTATGTCGAGTTGACAACTGAAGCGATCCAGCACCTGGGAGATAAGGTGAATATTTATTTTAAGAAGTGATTTCCCCATGTATCTCTAACACAAGATTTCTTTTTCAGTTTAATTTGCCAGCTGGATATGTGGGACTGGTCTTCCTGGGTCTGGCACTTTCCTATGCCATTTCTTCACCACTGTTTGGCCTACTAAGTGATAAAAAGCCTGTATGTATACTGACTTTATGTCTGAGTTGCTTTTGAATGCTAGATCATTAGTTAGTTCTCCAGCTGCCCCTTCAGAACTCCAAAGGGCCATTGCTTAAAGCCAACACATTTAGTTAGACAAGTGGAAAGATTCTAGTGTTGCCCAGCCTTAGTCATTACCCTAAACAGACTCATTTTTAGTTATTTCATAAGAGAAAGAGGAGTTTGATGCTAAAACTGTTGGTCTATTGGATTTTTTTTTTTTGTCTTTTTGAGATAGGGTCTCTCTGTAGCCCCAGCTGTCCTAGAACTCACTATGTAGACCAGGCTGGCCTCAAACTCACAAAGATCCACCTGCCTCTGCCACCCGAGTGATGGGATTAAAGGTGTGTGCTACCATGCCCGTCTTGGATTTGAATTTCTTTTTTTTAAATTTTATGTGTATGAGTGTATTGCCTGCATGCATGTGAGTGCAACCATGTCATGCAATGCCGCGGAGGTCAGAAGAGGGCTTCAGATTCCCCTGGAACTGAAGTTAGGATGGTTCGTAGCCACCATGTGGGTGCCGGGAATAAAACCTGGGTCCTCTGCAAGAGCAGTCAGTGCTCTTAACCGCTGAGCCATCTCTCCAGCCCCGGATTTGATTTTTTTTTTAAAGACAAGATCTCACTATGTAGCCCACACTGGCCTGAAACTCACAGTCCTCTTGCTTCAGTTCCTCCAGAGCTAGATTACAGATTGGTGTCACTATTACCAGCCTTTTTAGATTATACTTCCTAAAAAGCTTCTTTGATGCCCCAAACAAAAGCAAAACAACAAAAATCCCTGATCTTCACAATGAGCGTAGAGGCTTGGTCTCTTAAAAGTTATCCTTAGGCTTGATCAAATTGAAAAGCTGATGTAGGAGAATTCTGACTCAAAACGTGGGAGTGAAAGAATGACCATATAAACATGCATGAACTATCCAGTATCCACCTTACAGCTAATCCCTTCTGTTGTATGCGAATTCGGCCTAATCCATTCAGTCCATATGACTAATATGTAGAACTAGCACCATTAGCCAGATCTCAAATTTCCATGGCTGCTTCTGTGGCTTTAGAGCTTGTTTTTTACATTTTTCTTTCCTCATTAGATTTGCATGTATATTTATCAAAACACATTATCTGAAATAACTTAGTAACCTAAGTAACAAAAAAGCTAATGTCTCGAGGGCTGAAGAGATGCTCCTTTTTGCATTGGCTTCCATGGGCATCAAGCATGCACGTTGTCCCCATACAGATGCGCGCACTCACGCATACACATAAAATAACAATTAAAAAAAAATCAAAGACTAGGAGGACAAATACACAGTAGATACTACTTTTCACAATTCTGGACGTCCAAGAGCTGGCTGCCTCCATTGTCTGGTGAGAGTCACTTCTGATTCATAGATGGCTGTGTTTTCACTGTAACCTGACATGGAGAAATGGACAAAGGTGCTCTTGGGGGTGTCTTTTGTAAGGGTATGAATCCCAGTCATGAGGACTTCCCCTTCATGACCTTATCGCCTCCCCAAAGCTCACCTCTGGATATGGTCAGATTAGACAGTAGCATTTAACATATAGATCTGAGCGAGGCAAACACATTCACTCTATACCAGATATTTTTAAGACAGTGTTCTGCCTAGGTATTGTGACAGGTCGAGGAGTTTCTTATGGTGACTGCTTTCTAAATTCTTATGTATTTCCAATAGCTAATGATGTGCAAAACCTCTTAAAGTACTCCCTTCCTCAAGAACCCATGTTCTCTGTTCATTCCCCATCCTGGGAAATACCGGCCTTGCCTTTAAGTTTATCATATATTTATTTTCTCTTAACTGTCATTTCATTTTCTTCAATGTATTTGTATTTTTGACTATCATCATTTTAATAATTTTTTATGTTGTTCTATTATGGTGGTTTTTAAGCTTCTTTGAACTCTTTCTCTTTACCAGCATCTAAGAAAATGGTTTCTTGTCTTTGGAAACTTAATCACAGCAGGGTGCTACGTGCTCTTAGGACCTGTCCCAATTTTGCACATTAAAAGGTAACTTTTCTTTACTTTAATGTTTTTGGGAAAATAGCATTAGTAATTATTTTAAAATTTGTATAATGCTGTTATGGCTTAGTATTGTAAACATTAATATTTAAGCAATGACTTTGACTTAGGACAGTTTTGAACTGTTCGATTGACAGTGTGCTTTATTTACTAGAAGCTACCAGTGGCTCAAGCAAATAGGAATACATAAAATCTTTTCAAATGAGGAAAATGCTCATTTTTACCCTGTAGGGTTCTGTGTGTTTGTTTGCTGGTTGGTGTTGTAGCTGACAAAGGTCTGTTGGATCCTTCTAACTCACACCTCATGCTGGGACTACAGGCTCGCAATACCATGCCCAGCTTCCTTTTGTGTTTTAATTGTACACTTTAATTGGTCTTATTATCCAAATATATATGTTCCTGCTAGACTACCATCTTATTTTTCTAGTTCTTCCTTCTCGCTGAGGCAAGGACCAAATCTTACTGTTTCTGTGTCATCCTTAATATGCAGTAGCTGCTCATTAAAGTGTGTTTACCATAATTTACTTTCTAAAATAACGTGAGCTTCTTGCACCTTTTCACATACTTCTAGAATAAATCATGGTATCATGGGAGGAGAGTGATTTTGGAATATTTCAGATTTAGGGGTTTTTTTTTTTTTTGTTGTTGTTGTTGTTGTTTTTTGAGACAGGGTCTCCCTGTAGCCCTAGCTGTCCTGGAACTCACTATGTAGACCAGGCTGGCCTTGAACTCACAGAGATCTGCCTGCCTCTGCCTTCCAATTGCTGGGATTAAATGTGTGTGCTACCACACCTGGCTTCAGATTTAGGTTTAAATTTTGGACTTGCCACTAGTAGTATAACTTGGACAAATTGCTTAACTTCTAAGAGCCTAAGTTTTCTTGACCATGAAAAGGAACTAAATCAAAAAAAAATGTTTTTAAAGGAAAACTTACTTTATATGTGACAGGAGAGATGGCTCAGCAGGTAAAAGCCCTGGCTGCTTTTGCAGACGACTGGGGTTTGGAGCCCAGCACCTACAAAGTGGCTATCAGGTATCTGTAACTCCTATTCCAGGGGATTTGATTGGAGGCCACTACACATACATGGTACATATATATATATACATGTAGGAAAAACCATTATACACATAAAAATAAATTTTTAAAAAATTTTAAATCACTTAAAAAAGAAAAAAAAAAAGGAACCAGGTCTAGCAAGATGATGCAGCAGGTTAAGGCACTTATCACCAAGCCTGACGAGAGTTCAATCCCATTGATCCACCCTGTAGAAGGAAAGCACCGACTCCTGCAAGTTGTCCTCTGACCTCCACACACATGACATGGTATACACCCCGAAATGCCCACCCTCCCAATAATGTGTTTGAAAACATTTTTAAAGGAACCAAAGATAATACTTACATCCCAAGGAATAAACATGATGATGTATATTAAATATCTGGTATGGAACCCAACCTGGATCAAATGTCAGTTTCCTGTCTCTTTCTTTGCCCCTTCCCTTCTTTGCCATTTAATTGAATTTCGAGACCAAAGGATTTAATGAATAGACTTAAGTTGACATTCAAATCCATTTTGAAAGTGTTTCATATGATGAGATCAGTAGGTTTGTTACAGATGTGTACCATGTATGACTAAAGGCATGTATGTGATACTTGTGAACAAATATGACTTCAGATGCATGACTTGCCTTTTCCCTGCAGGTGAAAGGACTTAAAACTTGGCCTCACTGACTGAGCTGGGCTCAGATGGAAATGTGAACAAGACAAATGGTGTCATCTGTGAATGACATTCTTAGTTTGGTGTCTCTTAAAACACTAATGTTTTTGTTTTCTCCAAAATTCCTTTGTAGTCAGCTCTGGCTTCTCGTGCTGGTATTAGTTGTAAATGGTGTCTCTGCTGGAATGAGCATCATCCCAACTTTCCCAGAGATCCTCAGTTGTGCATAGTAAGTTTCTCCATTGTTTGAAGAACTGCATCATGACCAGCAGGAAGCATCAGCTTTTTGCAGCTGTTTAATCTTGTAAGATGTTAGATATTTGCCCAAATATTAAATCTTCATGATTTCATACCATACAAATATTGTGAAGTAAATCATATAAGTAATAATGAAATCATAATAACATACAGTGGTATTGATACACTGAGAGGTAAAATAGGTTGAAGAGAGATGCTTAGTTTGTTTCCTGTCTTGGTATCTATATGTTTATAGATGTATAAATAATTTTGAAAATCCTAAGCAAAATGGAAAAGCACCAGCGTTGCTCCTCTTTCATGGAGGAGATTCCTGCAAAAGCATAGGGCGTTCAGGCCTCTGTCACTTGACCATTGTTCCCTTGTGTCATGGGTGTGTGGATGAGGAACACTAGGTCTGTAGTTCTGCTGGGGCCACTCAGCAATTCTCAGAGGAAAGAGGAACTGCCTCTGTTTTCTTAGAAAGGCCTTTGCTTCATCCTACTTAAAGAATTTCTTAGTTAATTATATACTCTATTAGCATTTGCTGCAAATGGGTTGTGGTTCTTTTTATCTATTTTTATTTTATGTATATGTGATTGTTTTGTCTGCATGTAAGTACACCTGTACATGCAATGCCCATGGAGGCCAGAAGAGTGTATTTGATCCCTTGGAACTGGAGTTACAGACAGTTATTAGCTGCCTGTGGGTGCTGGGAACTGAATCCAGGTCCTCTGCAAGAGCAGCCAGTGCTCTTAGTCGTCGAGCCATCTCTCCAGCTCTGGTTGTGGTTCTTGATATCATATTAGATGTAATAAAATTATTTTTAGAAGATTATTTTATGAAAATACCTTAAAATTTGACTTACATGCTTTGTGTATTGTTATTTACTTTGGTGCTGGTGACCTAACCCAGGGCCTTGGGCATGCTAGGCACATGTTCTTCCACTGAGCTGCATCTCCAGACCCCCAGATTTGTTTTGACTTTACAAGTGGGATGTTCTTACTTTTGGTCGTCTCCAGATTGTGCTTGGTTTATCTTAATGCATCTCATAAAATTGTTTATGCAAATTTTCCTTTTAATAATGGATACATTCATGTGTCTTTTTGCAGTGAGAATGGATTTGAAGAGGGAATAAGTACACTGGGGCTTGTATCAGGTCTCGTTAGTGCCATGTGGTCAGTAGGGTGAGTAGTCACTGAATTCACTTACACCTGTGAGGTGGCAGAATCTGTCTCTATTTTACAGAGAAATTGAAACACCAAGAAATCTAAGACAAAACTCATCTAGTGTACAACAAGAGTTCTAATCTACACCCTCTGATTCCAAAATCCAGTACACCTGTAGATTTAGTACAAAACCAAAATGGTCACATATACTTTGTCTTATTAAATGATGCTATAAATTCCTTTGACAATATCCGGGCGTAGTGGTGCACACCTTTAATCCTAGCACTCAGGAGGTGGAGGCAAGCAGATCACTGTGAGACTGAGGCCAGCCTAGTCTATGAAGTGAGATCTAGGCCAGCTGAGGCTACAAGGAAGACCCTGTCTCAAAAAGACCAAAACAAAAAATTCCTTTAACAGAGGCTTAGCTCAGATTTTTAAAATGTGTTCCTTTATTGATTCATTTGCTTGTTTCTATTTTGCTCTCTGCTAGGCTATAATGCTAATTTTACAACAACGTCAAACATAACAAGTCAATAAAGATGTATTGAATTGAGTTATATTAGATTCAAGTGTTAAGAATAGAAAAAAAAATAGTAGGCTGACAAGATAGTTCATCAGGTAAAGTACTTGCTACACAAGCCTAGTAACCTGAGTTTGATCCTAGGAACCCACATAAAGGTGGAAAGAGAGAGAAAACTAACTCCACAGAGTTGTCCTCTGAATTCTACACAAGTGACAAAGCATGTGCCCACTCCCCAAAATAGATTCTTTTGAACATGTGTCACTATTTTCATTATTTTATAAGCTATCAACTCCACAGAAGCAGTTCCACTTTTGGAATTGTTTAAAAAATTTCAAATAGGAGCTGGAGAGATGGCTCAGTGGTTAAGAGCACTGGCTTCTCTTGCAGAGGACCTGGGGTTGGTTCCCAGCACCCACATGGTGGCTAACTGTCCATAATAACTTCAGTTCCAAGGGATCTGACACCCTCTTCTGACCTCCATGAGCATTTCACAGCATAAGTGCATTTATATACATGCAGGTAATACACTTATAAAATAAAAAATACTTATTTTTTTAATTTTTTAAAAAGATCAGAGGTTCTCGATAGATCTCTGCCCTCACAAAACAGGAGACAGACACAAAAAAGAATGTTTGCCCAATGTCTAAGTGGTATAACTTCCCTCCCCCCTCCCCCTCCTCCTCCCCTAGTCCTCCAGAACACTGGATCTGGAAGATCAAACTCTGGACTTCACATACTGTAGCCAAATGCTCTGCTACTGAGTTATCCCCTAGCTTTAGAAGGGTTTGCTTATTCCCAGAGTTATGCCCAGTCTCTATCATTCCAATTTAAGGACGGCTTGTGATTGAGGGGTCACGAAACTTTGCAAAGTATCTTCTGTACTCTGATGTTCACTCATTCTTTCCACTGTTAGTGCTTTCATGGGACCATTGCTGGGCGGATTTCTGTATGAGAAAATTGGTTTTCAGTGGGCAGCAGCTATACAAGGCTTGTGGACTCTGATAAGTGTGAGTGATCACTTTTGGGTTTTTGGTTGTTTTTTTTTTTGTCTTTTTTCTTGTTTGACATTTTGTAGAAACTCACTTCCCTGGAGGACTTACATTAATATTATATTTCATTGTGTTAAAGGGTCTTGTGATGGGCTTATTTTACCTCTGGGAGTACTCAACGACAACAAGAAGGTATGATCAGCTTCTGGAATTTTGTTCTCTTAAAAGAGGTCAGCTTATGGGAAGGAAAAAGAAATGCTGTTTTGTGTCCTTGCAGTTAGAAGATTTCTGGGCATCATTGCTTAACAGCATGTTCAGGAGGTGTGTGGGTGGAGATATAGGTATCGCGTGTTCTGTTTTCTTAAGATGATCAATACTGTCGTTTTATTCCTCTCGATAGATCTAAGCCTCAGAACATCGTTGGCACAGAGGAGGAGCAAGCTGCTCTCTTGCCCAATGAAATATAGCCTCACAAGTCCTGCACTGATACAGGTTGGGAGACAGGTGCCCCTTGCCTTGAGCATCGCTGCTAGAGGAGCCTGCCCAGTGTGCCACACGAAGCTCCATGTGTGCCACACCATCCTGGAAATGTTACTGTGCTTTTAGATGATCCTGAGTCAGGCTGCACTTAGTGTTTCTCTGAAGAGCTGGCCTGCTGAGCCATCCACATCACAAACACCTACAAGAAGGGAAAGCCAACAGAAGTTAGTGTTTTGAAATGACCAAACTTATCCTTGAGGTCACAGTTAGTGACTCTGGCTTTCTTATTTCTTGTGTTTTTCATTCCAAGTGCACTGATTCTGTGAATGTACCCTTTATAGTTAATAAGTAAATGGAGTTATCTGATGCACACTGAATGTATAAAACATAATGAATAATTACTATGAAATTCATTTTCAAAGATATACTTTCTCTGCACTGAGATTCATATACTTACTGAAAAGGCAAAATTTCTGCCTACTATTCAAAAACTCTATAGCACTCCTTGGCTTTCACACTTGGTTATACTTGGATCCTTGGAACCTGAGTATGGATATTAACTCATCGGGTAGATTTCAATGGTAATGTTTATCACCTCTACTAATTAACATGAGGTTTTTATGTTTCCTCTTCAAATATCTCGTTTTTTTTGTTTGTTGATTTTTGTGTGTGTATATCATACAGAACATCCCAAACAATCTTACTCATCTTCCCAAATGGCACCCTCCCATAGCCTCCCCGCCCCCCACTGGAGTCCATATACTCTGTCATCCCTGTTACTGTCTAGTGTGTTGTCAGCTCCCCTAGCCATTCCCCAGTGCTTGTCCATCTGCTGAATCTAGTCAGCCTATCTAGAGATCCTTGTTTTAGGAAGATCAGCTGTTCCTCATCTAGCAGCAATCAGTTGTCAATATTCCTTTAGATAAGATTGGGGTCTGCTGTTCATTTTCCAAGTTCTATGCTGGGTTACTGTCTGGGAGTCTCTTGGGCCACCCTGGCCAACAACTCAAAGGAAGGTATCTCCTGTCTGGCATTGTTTCTTGTTATGTAGCCTTTACCAATACATATGGACTCTCAAAAAATTATATTGACCCCATTAATCTTTGGTTATACTGTCCTTTGGGGTGTTTAAGACCATACAATTGGCCCAGATAAACCAATTTATTTTTACTCTTAAGTTCATTTGAGGATCTGTTCCTCAGGGGTCACATGAGCTTGGGAGGAGACCCTGGCTCCTTTCTTTTACCAGTTCTTCTATGTGAAGATAAGTCAAAGGTCCTGGTCAACCATGCCTGGCTTCACTTGGAAGCATGGAAGAAATGTTTCCTCCGTGTTGACCCTCCTCTTTGTAAACTGGACACTGGTTCAAGTCCATCTGGTGAGGTCTCCATGGCCTCCTTTATCAAGAGGACAGGTGACTTACCACAGGAGATTTTGAGAGATACTCATAGTCCCCCGGAACTTAGTTGACCTCGGAGGGCAAGGGGCAAAAACTGTCCTTTATATTCCTCTGACCACATATAGGCCTCAACATATGGATGTTAAACATCCAAGAAGGTTAGTTCCACCATTCTGGTACTTTTAATTACCATATGCCATGTAGATAAAGCTTAGGCAAAGACCAAACATTCTCAGATAAACCTTGCCTAGAAAGATATTACATTCCTTGATCTAGTTGTATGTATGACAACTAGTTGTCAGTAGGTTGTTGGACTAATATGGTTCCCTCTGGTTTTTTAAAACTAGGCGTTATTTATCTCTCACATTGTCTAATCCTTCCACCATGGTTTCCCCATTTATGGTGCCCCCCCCCATTTTTCCCATTTCTCCTTTAATAATATGCTTCTCCTATGATCCCACCTCTCTTGAGCTCCTTTTTTCCATTTATCCCCTAGGTTCCTTCTATAAAATTCCCTACCCCCTCCCCTTAAAATAACCCCAGTTTTATGCATATCTCCCTTATTAAAGCCTGTTTCCTACTGTCCTCTTTCAGATTCTTTCTTTTTCTTTACCTCCTTGGTTCATTTTCATTATCCTGGTTCCTGTAGTTATTTCTGGACACATACTCATCAGGGTTTGGTTCTAGGATCCACATATGAGGAAGAACATATGTCGATTTTTTTTCTGAGTCTGTGTTACTTCATTTAGTATAACAGTTTCTACTTCCATCCATTTACCTGCAAATTTCATGATTTCATCTTTCTTTACTGCTGAGCAAACTCCATCGTATATATGAACCACATTTTCATTATCCACTCATCAATTGAGGGACACCTAGGTTGCTTCCACCTCTTAGCTATTGTGAAGAGAGCAGCAACAAACATGGATATACAAGTGTCTCGGCATTAGGATGAGCTCTTTGGGTATATGCCCAGGAGTTAGGTATAACTGGGTCAAATGGTAGGTTCATTTATAGTTTTTTAAGAGTTCTCCACACTGCTTTCCATAGGGGTTGAACAAGTTTGCAATCCCACAAGCAGTGGATGAGTGTTCCCCTTTCCCCGCATCCTCTCCAACATTTGGTATCATTTGTTCTCTGGATCTTAGCCAGTCTGACTGGGGTAAAATGAAATCTTAAAGTGGTTCTACTTTGCATTTCCCTAATTACTAGTGATGCTGAACATCTTTTAAGATGTTTCATAGCCATCTTTACTTCTTCTTTTGAGAACTCTCTGTTCAGCTCCTTAGCCCATCTTTTAATTGGGTTACTTGTCTTGATTCTCTGTTTTTTGAGTTCGTTATATATTCTGGATATTAAACCTCTGTCAGATGTGTCGCTGGTGAAGATTTTCTCCCATCCTG